GATTCTGTCCCGGTTGCCCCTCTTCCAGTCCAGCTCTCTGCTGTGGCCCGGGAGTGCAGTGGAGGATGGCCCAAGTCCTTGGGCCCTGCACCCGCATGGGAGACCAGGAGAGGCACCTGGCTCCTGGCTTCAGATTGGTGCAGCACAGGCCACAGTGGCCATTGGAGGGTGAACCAACGGAAAAGGAAGACCTTTCTCTGTCTCTCTCTCTCACTGTCCACTCTGCCTGTATCACAAAAAAAAAAAAAAAGGAAGGGTAGATAACTAGAATTAGTATTGTGGAGATAAACTAATCAGAGAAAAGAGTAAAGAATATATGTGCGAGTCAGGCATTCCTAGTGCATAGCATTTACATAACAATTTGAATTACTAATAGGATCCTCCCAGAAGATAAATGTGAAAGAGAGAAAAGGAGGAGAGAGAAAGAGAGAGAGAGAGAGAGAGATATGTTTGTCACTAATATATATATTCCTTAATTTCAAAATTTACTTTTGAATTTTTCTTAAGTTACATGGCTCCCCCTCATGCCCGCATGACATCATAATAATTCTTATATTGGCAATTTTAACAATCTGAAATTATATCAGTGTGACAATTTATCTTTTTGTGATGTGTTCCTATATAATATCACTTTTGATTCTCACAAAATCCATAAACAGATCAACTTTCCTCATTTTACCATTTTGAAGACTAATTTCTTTGGTTACATAACCAGCATATGAGTTGCAGCGTCAGAACACAAAGCTTTTCTCAAGGAAGCACGTATCTATGTTTTTAGTACTAATTTTATTGTTGTTTATTTTTTTAATTTGACATATAAGAATCTCCCATCCACTGGTTCACTCCCCAAATGCCCACAATAGTCAGGACAGGGGCCAGGCTTAAGCTGGGAAACTGGAACTCAATCCAGGTCTTCCACATGGATGATAGGAACTCAACCTCTTGAGCTATCACCTGCTGTCTCCTAAGGTATGCCTAGGGCAAAGAATTGAACTCAGGCACTCCCATATAGGATGCGGGTATTTTAAGAGTTAGGCCAAATGACAATCCCTAATTATAAAAAATTAATGTTTTAAATAACAATCTTTTAACAAACTTTTATAAACTTGAAATAACTGTTAGTATTTGCTTCATTCTAGTTGCTTTTGGGAAGTATTTACATTAACTAAAAGGCCTGAATGAAGACTGGACACGAATTAACTAAATAAATATATTATAAGTATAATCTTCATTAAAATGTTGATTGTTTTCCAGTACAATAAGACCACCTGTATTTTAGACTCTTTTAAAATCCTAGGGATTATTTTCAGAAATGGAAAAATATGTGACTATAGAGATGAATAACATTGGGTAGGTAGAACAGGGATCATTTTACTGTATTTTGAAGGTAAAACAATGATAAAAAGAAATTGGGGAAGAAAAAAAGATGAAAATTGCAATATGACCATCTTTCATGAAAGGTGATATTGCACATTTGTTATTTCTAATGATCTTATTTGGGATGTCTCTTAACACAGTGAAACATCTTGAGAATATTCTCAATATTCTTTGATTACTATAACCCTTACAATGCAAAATGTCATCCATAATATTTTTACGGTGTAGGTATTACATTGAACTTTCTGAAGAACTCTTTAAAAGTTTCTTGTATTTTAAAAGTTCTTAGTGCCTTATAAAATCAAAACAAAGAGGTCTGAAACTCAAGGTGAAATTAGGAGAAATTGAAATCCCCAGTGAAATAAACTGCCAGTAAAATTAACACAAAAGACTGCTTGTGAATAGCTAATTTGATTTGGAAACACCCAGAGTTTCAGTTGAGTTTCATGGAGGTATGAATAGACAATGATTATAAATTGAAACGGCAAAATCTAATCAGGAAACTGAATTATCAGAAAGAATCTCTACATTAGGGAAAATTAGAGAGCTAGTTGTGGATTTCCAGCACTGACTAGGAAAAAGTTTGCCCTGATTAGCAAACTGAAATACTCCAGTTCCCATACCAATGGTGGAGATCTGTAAATAGATCAAATTAAACATTGAGGCAACAATCATTCAGAATATCTACTATCTCTCTTTTTAAATAATTCTAGGCTCACTAAGGATCTCTGATGATAATTTGTTTTGTGTGTGCATTCTCTAATAGAGACAGAATATGCTGTTTATCAAACTGAACATTCCTATTTACAGTATTTCCCATAATAGATGAACATTCTGATTTATACTAAGATATCTTGTGATTTTAGTTACTGTGAATTAGCTTCACTAATCCTGATACTACTGCACACTGACACAATGGTAGATAGTTTTTACATGAAAGGAAGCATATATTGTATAAAAGAGCATTGTCCATCCTTTTGCAACCAATAAAAGAACTAGATGATGATAGAAAATATGCATGTTTTCCTATTCTCTTGTTTCTTGGTAAAAAAAAAATGTTCCTTATGACAATAGTTTTCTGATTACAGTTTATATAGTCACTTGAGGAAATTTCAAAATTATAAATTCCTAGAGTTGACTGCCAGAGATTCTGATACAATTGGCTCAGGATGGAGCACGGGAATCTATAAAAGCCACCCTGTGTGGTTCTGATCCTGAGAGTGAACTAAAACTTGAATAACACTGGTCAGTATAGGACAACTTTGATATCTTTCATAGTTCTGTAACTCTAAAAGTTTCATTCACTGCTTGGCAAAATTTTCAGGATTCATGCTAGGATTCTGTTAACTGGCAAAATGTTTAACATTGTAACCAGTTCCAGGTCTCTGACTGATCAGAACTGTGTATTCATTTTACGAAGATGATGGAAGAAGTAGAAAGCAGCTTGTTAAAAATAACTGATTGGGGGCAAGGCTAGGAGAGATAAAGTGGCTGCCAGCTTCACCCCACTGTGTGTCCCAATGTAAAGGATAGAAAATAATATCCTCTAAAGAGGCTGCCCTTGTCCAGTAGCAGAAAGAAACAGGTAAGTGGCCAGGAATGACAAGGAATAGATTGGGAGACATGATTTCCCAGCAGCATCTCCCCATCACCACCTCAAATAAAACAAACTAAGTGTAAGTGATGTTCTTCTTGTGTAAGTGCTGGAAGTACAACTTTGTGCCCTCTCTCCAAGACTGATTGCTGCCCTTAAACTCTTCTGCTAAGAATTGTCCAGCTTCCTCAAGAAATAACCAACTATTTAATTGAGGATGTGCAGTTGGAGAAGAGTTTAGGAGATAGGGCAGTAGGGTGATGAAGGTGTGTGTGGGGGGGATTGTGGGAGTGAGAGAGAAAGTGAGGAAGACAGAGGAGTGAAGACGGAGGAGTGAAGAGGGCTGTGGGAGGGATAATGTTGGGGAGGTGGGAGGTAGAGCAGGAAGTATAGAGAGGAGGCAGGAAGCAGTGGTGGGGCCAGACTACAGTGGGGAGGTGGAGAGTGAAACCGGGATCAGGAAGTAAGTGCAGGGTGAGGAATGTTTTCAGATTCCAAGGTTTATACATCTTCATTTGGTTTTTCCATCCTTAGTGTGCATAATATTCACCTAGGGACCATGTTAAAAATGTAAATTCATGAGCAGTCTCCTTATTATAAGTCTTCCAAAGCCTATATTTTAATGAGTATCTCAGTTAGAGAATAGTTAGTCATCATTTGAAAAACATTTTTTTCAGATCAGCGGTCCTCAAGGTTTTTGATCTCAGGATTCCCTTAATTATTTCAAATTACTGAGAGAGTTGGCCTTTGATGCAGTGGTTAAGACATTTTTTGGGGTGACTGAATCCCATATGGGACTGAAAGTGGGGGATGGGGGTTTGAATTCAAGCTCCACTCTTCATTCCAACTACCTGCTGATGTGCTCCCTGGGAGGCAGTCAGTGATGGCTCAAGTAATTTACTACCTGCTATACATGTGGGAGATTCAGATTTATTTGTGAGTTCCTAGCTTTGGCCTGGCTAAGTCATGCCTATTGTGAACATTTGGGGAGTGAGCTAGGGGATGGGTGATCTCTCTCTCTCTCTCTCTGAGCCTTTCATGTAAATAAAACAAAATAAATAAATTACTGAGGAACCAGAAGAGTACCTGATATGGTAAATGATACCTGAAGACGCTGGAGCTATTGATATTAATGGTATTGAAAACTAAAACCAAGAAATATTTCAAATTTTTATTCACTCTCTTGAAAACACCAAGAAAAAATCATGACATGTTAACTAGATAACATTAAAAATAACATTATTTTCAAAAGTAAAACTATTTAGTAAGTAGTATTATATTATATTTTCACATCTCTTTATTGCCTGAAAATTATTTCCATATATCTGCTTCTATATTCAATGTGTTATGATAATGATGTTTTGGTTGAAATATGATTATATGAAGAAAATCAAGAATCACACAAGTAATGTAATTAGTAAAAGTAGAACTTTGCAGACCCCTGAAAGTATCTTAAAGGCTCTCATTGGGTCCTGATACCTAACTCTGAAGTACTGTCTTATTCTGTTACTGCTATCAGAAATTCTGTTGAACAGTCCTTTTCATCCTTAGATTGTTTAATGTGGAGAAAATTATTTTTGCAAAAATTACCCTAAATCACCCTTATGTGAATTTACTTCATTAATTTTAAGGAACTATGGAAACAAACTAGAAATGTTGGGGCAGAATTTTGTTGAAAGAAATTGGGGTTTGGAACACTGATTCGACTGAGGGGAGAGGAATTTCATTAGGTAATTAAAAATAAATACATTAGATGTCCAATTAGAGGTAGAAAATATATGAGACCTGTAGTTATTTACAATTGAATAAGTAACTAATGGTGAGAAAGTGTCCATCACAACTTTTGAATCAAGTGACTTAGTTAGCCTGAATAAAATAGCCTTTTGTTCCTGTCAGCATAATTGTTCAAATCTGCTCACATTATTTATTACTTTAAGTTTTACTTCTGTAACATAAAACTTACTGCCAAGTTAGTGCAAAAATTGTAATAAACACTATACCATTTCTCATTTCTCTTTGGTTCAATCAGAAGATCCTGAAAAGAGAACTGGAAAACAGCTGGAAAGGTGAAAGGAAAACCAAGAAGTGTGTGTAATCCTGGAAATCAACTGAGGGATGTGTTTCAGGTAAGAGAGCCATCAACTCTGTAAAATATGCAGATTGATGAGGTTAAGGTGAAGAATTATAATTTTGTCATTAGATTTAGTGGCATAAAAGTCATTATTGATCTGAAAAAGAAAAGTTCCAATAGAGTCGTTGTGATGAAAGTCCCCATTGGTATGGATTCAAGGGACACTGAACGAGCCAGCGGTGTGGCGAAGCAGGTAAAGCTACTGCCTGCAGTGCCGGCATCCCATATATGTTCTGGTTTGAGTCCCAGCTGCTCCACTTCTGATCAAGCTGTCTGCTATGGCCTGAGAAAGCAGTGAAGATGGCCCATGTCTGTGGGCCCCTGCAACAGCATGGAAACTCCTGGCTCCTGGCTTCGGAACAGCCCAGCTCTGGTTGTTGGCTGCCATTTGGGGGGTGAACCAGTGGTGGAAGACTTCTCTCTCTCTCTCTCTCTCTGCCTCTGCCTCTTTGTAACTCTGCCTTTCAAAGAAATAAATAAATCTTTTTAAAAGTGGGAGGAAAGAGCTGAGAACTGTACAAATAATTCTTTCCTGGAGTTTTGCTTAAAAAGAAAGGAGAGATGTGGAGCAACATATGATACAGGAAATGGAGTTAAGAGAGGTGATTTCTCTTGGTTTTTAAGTGAGAGAAATAATAATGTTTGTGTATATAACTGTTGGGTTTTTTTGGTTTGAGTACTTTGGTAGGAAGCACAATAGATATGGATCCTTTCCATGTGAAGGAAAATGGCATTAAGTGATTACACACATAACTAGCTATAATTTTGAAAAACATTAGGTTCTACCAAAGCTTAAAGATCAGTCCTAACAATTTCAAGGACATTAAAAAGGTCTTCACTAAATAAATTGAAGTTGTACTTAGGGAAGGAACAGTATGTGCAAAGACCATGGGTGGAGGGAATATGGAATATTAGAAATATGTAAAGATAGAAGGCCATTGTAATTGATGTGCAGGGAAGGGGAAGGATGAGTGTAGCAGAAGTTAAAGCGAGAGAGGTAAGTAGTGACCAGATTATTTATGTTGCAGCCCATAGACTCAGTTAAGTTCTTTGGATTTTTTTAAAAAATATGTATTTTATTTGAAAGGCAGAGTTAGAGAGAGAGAGATGGACAGATCTTTCATCTGCTGGCTCATTTCCCAGATGGCTGCAATGGCCAGGGCTGGGCCATGCTGAAGCTAGGAGCCAGAAGCTTCTACCAGGTCTCCCACTGTGAGTGCAGGGGCCCAAGCACTGGGGCCATCTGCCACTGCTTTCCTAGGCACATTAACAGGATTGGAAGTGGAGCAGCCACATAGTGGACGTAACACACTATGCCCAGCACCAGCCCCAAGGTCTTTGGATTTTATGCCAAGAACATTGGGGATCCTTGATTTCATGGGTTGGTCACAACAAAAGTGAACCAGCCAAAACTGAAAGTAAAAGATGGAAAGTAAAATTGGGATAGTAATTGTGTAGAAAATATCTATTCTGCAGGCATGACTTTAGGCCAAATCTATATGTAGCTTCATAATAAATTACTTCCCAATATACTGTTTCCTGAGGATTTAGCAACTGAGAGATTTCTAACTGATTACATCATACAGTAAGAAGGTCCAATTTGCAAAGATGGCCAAGAACAACAGATTATGTCATTCCCTATTTAATATCTTAATCTCCTCAAATTACCCTTTTTATTCTTTAAAGTGCATATATTTTCAAATTTTTTATTACAAAGTGTTGAAACACCTAGAAAACCTAAAAGGCTATTACAGTAAATATTTGTATGCCCATAGTATTTCCTTCCTCAGTTTTTCTGTGCAAGTTAAAAGTCAGAGACTTCATGATGTTTTCCATGCACATATTTCAGTATTCATCTCCTAAAATAAGGGTTTCCTCCATAATCTCAATACTATCATATTTAAACTACTTAAAAATAATTCCCTGATACCATATAATATCCAATGAATTGTAGATAACTTAGTTATCCCCCCCAATTTTTTAATCAGCTTTATTGAGGATAATGTTCACATGAAAATCATTCCTTTTTAGTGTAAAATTCAATGATTTACCACATGTTTATAAAAATTGTACAGCCATAATGATACAAATTTAGAATATTTCATCGCTCCACACATACATGTTTTATATTGAATGAGGATAGAATTAAGATTTATATATGACATTTAATTATTCCTCTTAATCTCTTTTTTCCTAAAACAATCTACATTTTCCCACATAAAATTGCTTTTTAGGAGACACTTACTGTTTGTTTTATAGAATCTGCTACCATCTAGATTTTCTGTTTGTTTCCTCATTGTCATTTAAGTTGTTTCTTTATTGAACCTCCACCCCTCACTCACAATATTTTCTTTTTTTCCCTCCTTTCATTTCTTTATTGGACATTTGTGGAAATATCTTTTGAAATTCTTTGCCTATTTTTAAATTGAGTTAATTTGAAATTTTTTCTTTTCCTTTTTATTTATATGAGGAAAACAAATTTTATTTATTTTATACATAGTTTTAAGAGCATCATGATACATCCTACTTTATCCTCCCACCCTCCCTCCTTTTATCCCCCTCCTCCTTCTTTTATTATTTTTCTTTAAATTTTTAAAATAACATGCTTTCAATTTATAATCACAAACTTAATTCTCCACTAAATAAAGACCCCTAACTTACACACTATACAAAAATGAACTCACAATGTATCAGGAATCTAAATCTTAGACGTGAAACCATCGAATTACTAAAGGAAAACCTAGGGGAAACACTGCAAGACATTGATTTAGGCAAAGACTTCTTGCATAAGATCCCAGAAGCACAGGCAGTAAAGGCAGAAGTAGACAAATGGGATTATATCATCCTAAGAAGCTTTCCCACATCAAAGGAAACACTCAACAAAGTAAAGAGGCAACTAACATAATGTGAGAACATATTTGCAAATTATACATCTGATAAAGGATTAATATCCAGAATATATAAGGAACTCTCAGTTTTTTTCCATTAAAATCCTAGATAGACTCATCTGACATATTTGGAATAAATACCAAATTTGTTAATTTTCACCCTTCTCTAAAATGTAAATGTCATAAAACCATGGATTTTTGTCTATCTTGTTTAGCATCAGTGTCTGGCTCACAGTAAGATCTCAAAAACCTTTGTTGCAGACCCATTGTCGTGGCACAGTGGCAACTCTACCTTTCAAATAGATTAACTCACAAATGAGTAAATCTTGGAAAAAAATAAACTTTGTTGAGGAAGAGATAGAGAGCCATCTTCCATCCCTTTGCTCACTCCACAAATGGCCACAATGGCCAGAATTGGGCCAAGAGAACCCAGGAGCCAGGAACTCCATCAGGTATCCCACATGGGTGACAGGGGCCAATGCACTCAGGCCATCTTCTATTGCTTTCCCAGGAGCATTAGCAGTGAGCTGAATCAGAATTGGAGCAGCTGGGACTGGAACCCATAATCTGATATGGGATGTCAGTATCACAGGCTTCAGCTTAACCTGCTGTGCCACAACACCAGCTACTAGATTCAACTTAAATTTAAGATTATTTTTCAATTTTATTTAAAAAATTATAAAGATTTCATTATTTTGAAAGTCAGAGTTACACAGACAGAGAAGGAGAGGCAGAGAGAGAGAGAGGTCTTCCATCTGCTGGTTCACTCCCCAGAGGGCCGCAATGGCCGGAGCTGCACCGATCCGAAGCCAGGAGCCAGGAGCTTCTTCTGGGTCTCCCACATGGTGCAGGGCCCAAGAGCTTGGGACATCTTCTACTGCTTTCCAACGCCATAGCAGAGAGCTGGATTGGAAATGGAGCAGCCGGGACTCGAAGCAGCGCCTATATGCAGGCAGTGGCTTTATCTGCTATGCCACAGTGTTGGCCCTGATTTTTTTCAATTTTAAATTGTATTATTGTCAAAGTTTTAAGGCCGTGATTTGTTTTCTAATCCAGTCATTCAAATTGGTGAAAAGCGATTTGTATTTTATCTGTGTGTCATAAACATTGTGAGTGTCTTTCTAAATTTTTAGATATCAAATTTATTTACATGATGAGAATTTCAGGATGAGACATTTTGGAACTAGTTGTGTCAAATAGCTTACAAGATTTTGATTGCATTCCTTATCAGAACACTAAAGAAATTTCTTTTTTTTTTCATTTCTTTTTTTTTTATTTTTAACTTTTATTTAATGAATATAAATTTCTAAAGTACAGCTTATGTATTACAATG